GGCATTTTTTTTTAAAAAAATGACGGGGGGGGGGGGGGGGGGTAAGGTGTGGCATAAGGTGAAACGTACTATGCGAGTGATCTGCTCCACATGGATCCTGTTTAACATCCTAGCTAGGCCCCTGCCTATTTTACACCCGGTTTTCCTCTACGGACACTTTTTCTTCCATTCCGGGGACTTTCCTTGCCGCAATGTCGCGGGCAAAACGGAACTCTGAGATGGTGAACTAGCTCGACGAGTTCCGCTGCACTGACAAAGATGGCAGTTCTGTGGCGGCCTCGGAAGAAAACCAGCCGTTTTACCCTATTCAAACTAATTAATCACATTAAACAAGATTCTGTGGAGGTGACACACCGTGGAGAAGAGGCATTATGCAAAGCCCTAAAAGACTATGTAGATACCCCAACAAAGGGCAAGGTTAATCACCTTAAGCTTTTATCCCGTATTGTTTCTGATATCCACACTGTCATTGACAATTATAAGCTTTTCTACCAGCAGAAAGTGTTTTAGCATGGCGAAGGTTGTAGCAAACTCTTGGCTTTTTTGGCTAATCAGGAAGGTAGATCGCTTGTTTCCCTCACTTCCTCCTCGTGTTCCCTGATATCTGACCCATAGTCCTGTCCTAGTTCTTTGATTTCTTTTCTGATCTTTATGCTTCCAAATCGCCCGTTTCTTCCTCTGATACTGCTCTTTATCTTGATCACTTTGATTTGCCCACACTCTCAATTGACCAGGTTCAGATGCTGGAGGTACCTCCTGCGGTTTTGGAGATAGAAACGACTATTACCTTATTTGCCCATGCTAAGGCTCCCATGACGGGTGGATTGCCTATAGAATTTTATGCTACCTATGCTGAGCTTCTTGGCCTTTCCATGCGAGAGGCTCTAATTATTCTAATTCCTATACCCAATAAAAATCCTCATGTCCCGGAGCCTTATATGCCCATTTCTTTATTATGTTAAAATCCTTGCTAAGGTGCTCTCTTATTTGTCTGGCCCGGGTCATTTCGAGCCTTATACACTCTGATCAGACGTGTTTTATGCCTGTGAAGAATACGACCTGATAACACTAGATGGCTCTTTTTTAACTTACAAGCTTCCCATGACCGTTTAGGTGACAGAGTTGTTGTTCGTTTAGATGCAGCTAAAGCTTTCGACTCTGTTGAGTGGCAATTTCTTTGGCTTGTTCTGGCCCGATTTGGTTTCGGTCCTAATTTCATTAAGTGGCTCCAATTACTTTATGTTCACCTTGTAGCCCACCTGACAGTTAATTATCACATCTCTGCTCCCTTTTCCCTCTCCTGAGGGACAAGGCATGGTTGTTCCCTCTCACCTTTGCTATTCGTGCTAGCTGTGGAACCCCTAGCTGTGCGGATCGGAGCGCACTCTGCCATCACGGGTCTGTCGGTTGGAGACTTTGAGGAAAAGATAAGTTTATACGCGGATGATATCCTGTTGTATTTCGCAGACCCAAGGCCTTCCCTTGCCTTGGCCCTTGAGGTGATCACTGAATATGGTCAGCATTCAGGATTGTCCGTTAACTGGTCCAAATCCCAAATTCTATGCCTTGACTGCTTTCCCCCTACTTTAGAACAAGCTATGCTTCCTTTAGCAAGGACTGATGTACTCACTTACCTGGGCATACAGATATCTAGACCCCTCTCTGATTTTGCTAAATTACATTTTGAACCTCCTATCCAATTAGTAAAAACAAAAACTCAAATCTGGTCACGGTTGCCCCTTGGTGTGATGGGTAGATTGAATTTTGTTGAAATGGTGCTTCTTCCCAAGATCCTTTTATGTGCTATGATTTTCCCCTGTTTATACCACTAAAGTTCAGTAAAATTCTCAACGCCATTTTCAAACCTTTTATTTTGGGGTAAAGGGAGACACAAGCTTAATTGGGAGACGGTGTGCTGTCCCTTGAATAGCGGAGGACTGGTATTCCCTGATTTTCATTTATACTAACTTGCTTCGCAATTGTCTCACCTGTACCATTGGGCCACGTCTGAGTCACTTATGATTTGCCATCTCTTACCTATACCTGCTTGAAATAGTCTATTGGAGCCCCTATAGTTGGAATGTAGGGTTTCTTGCCAAAACCTATCCTTGACCACCTCTTATCGCAGAGTCTCAGACTTTGGTATGTAGCGTTTAGTCGTATGAAGCTCCCCCGATTTGGCAGTCACACGCTCTGCTCCCTGCATTTAACACACAAAAAAAAGTTCACAGCAGAAGCTCAAAAATTGATCTCTGATCCCTCTGCTAACTCCTGCTGTATTTTTACATAAGAGGCTAGGAAAAAGTGAGTCACTGTTGTGAAGCAGAGAAAGATGAGGTGAGCTGCTGAGAGAATCACTTGAAGGACTTCAGTGCTTTTGCTGTTAATTTTGAGGATGTATTGCTCCACAGTGCCTTCAGCTACAGAGGTCAGTGAGTTTTTTGAATACTCATTTACTGCGTCTTAAGAATATGGAGATACTGGAATGCCCATAATTTGGGCACAGGATTCAGCTTCCATCCTACATCAGATTATTCCCCTTCTGGTATTTCTTTGGTGCCAGTTGTAGAAGGACTATTAACAATTGAATCTATACATTGCATTCATAATAGTGGTCCATCTTGCTGCAAATTGTACTTCATCAGTTATTCCTTCGTGCTACAAGTCACAGCCAGTCCAGTGGTGGTCTATGATGCACACAGCCTGGTGGTCATCCCTGCCAGCCAGTGTCTCATGAACTGGCTGAAATTTGCTAAGTGTATGTGCAGCTTTAAGCAAATTACCCTCCTGGTGCTCCGGTAAAACACAACATGGAGCCAGTTGAGATGCCAGCCTTCCTTCTTCCTATGTTAGGAGTCAGAGTCCGTTTAAACTGACAGTTCACACAACCAACATTTCAAAATGCTGATACTTCTATAGCTGTACTGGCACTGGGATGCCCTGTGAGCTTCTAGCGAGGTTCTTAAAAAAACAGTATAGCTTTTGAGGTTTTCTAATTAAATTCTACCAAACTTAGGATTAGGGGTTTTTTCCATGTGTCATAATGCATGTGCACAAAAGCAGGTACATTTTTTGGAGTTTCCATCACTGACGCAGAAATTATGATCTGCATAGATTTTAAATCACCAATCACGATTTTATCCTACCCTAAGGTAAGTTTAAAGGCATTTCCATAATTTAAGTGATCTTTTAACTTTGTTTACAAGAGATTCCTGAATTTCATCTTAAAATACCTTCAGTACGTGTAGAAGTGACATCACGATTGTTCAAATGTAAATTGTGTTTTATTGGATATTTTATGTTTCCTTCAAACATATTTGACAGCCTAATCATGAGAATAAGAATTCTAGTCATCTGTGAGTAACCCATTCAGCTTGTTTCACTTTCAAAGCACTCTCTGCTTCAAGCCATCTTTTATCAAAAATGAATTGCAAAAGCAAAACGACTGCCATGGGTTCATAATCGATTAGTTGTAGATTATTTTCTCAATTAATTGATTAGTTGTATTAAAAAAAATCTCTTTCTCTCTCTTCCAACCCCCAACTAATCGGTAATGAGAACAGTTCACAACTATTCTCATCAATTATTATCGATTTAATCAATTGGTTGTTGCAGCCCTAGTTCTGTGCCTAATTGCTGCTTCCGGGTCATCCCTGCAGATACCTTTTTAAGCTTTTGTAGTAAAGGTTTGTTGTCTTTGCTAACTATTCCGTCAGAACCCATTGTTTTCACATTCTTTAACCCTTTCGCTGCCAAGGACGTATGGCATACGGACCTACAGTTATGTTTATGTTCACAGATTAGCTTCTGAAAATGCCTCATCAAGCTCCGCTGTTTCAGGTCTGATCCCCGGCACATCAACCTCTAGCGCATTCCACTCCATCCAGAGCCGGCTGGTATCCAGCATTCCCCCTGGAGTGCAGAACCAGCAGTCTAGCACATTGTCAGGTAAAACTGGTTTGACTCGTAATTCATCTGTGACATATCAGGCAGCTAATATCATTAAGGAGATTTTAACAGTGTTAGGTAACGATTCACAATTAAATAAATTAACCGTTTATCACTAGAAAACAAAATTAGCATCCAAATTAGCCGCTTTGTCCTTATTCTTGCGTCATCCTGACGTTAAGGTTTTTTATTGCCTTATTGAAGTCATCAACAGAAAAAGATGCACATTCATCCATAAAAGCTGTCTTTATAGTGCAGATGACAGAGCTCTTCTGATCTGCATATTTTGAGTACTTCATCTTCTGAACAAATGCTATAGTATACTTAAGCTAGCCATACACTGTAAGATCTTTTTTGATAAGCCCCAGGGGCTAAACGATAAAAGTCACTCAATTCCCCCATAGCACTCTGCCAGCAGCTGTCAGAATACTCAATAATTGGCTGCAGTCACTGTTCCGCTGACCATTTACACCTGGCTTCTTTGACAAAAGTTAACTGAAAATTCGAAGTTTGTTAAGCCATGTGGTGCCAGCAGGGCAACCCACAGGTTGTATTTCTGCCAATTTAGCAGGAAACAGACAAAATTTGATCACTGTATGGCCACCTTTAATCTGTCAGTTATATTGTGAAAATATCTGGGATTGCATCCATATTACTTGTCTGAAAGTTTTGTATTTTGAAAGGGGGTGTATAGTTTTTTTGTTTTTTTTTTTACATAATCGTGTAAGGTCAGCTTGATGTAAATGATCTTACATCTTGTATGTTAATGTTTTATTAACCTTGTTTCTATGTCTAATGTGTAATTATTTATGTACATGTAGGAGCAGCCACATTTGCTTATTACATATGCAGACTCTGCTTCCTGCTTTACAATGTCCGCAGTTTCAGTGAAAACAATATGAAATATGTCTATAGCACAAACTTTTTTTTTTTCTGGTAGTAAGAAAGGGTTAGAAATGCATCTGGGTTTTATTCCTCTCTGTCCTAGTGATTTTTGTCTTTGAGGCAGAAAGGGATTGAAAATCCAAAATATTACGCCAGTCACCTGAGCAAGAGGTGACGGGAAATGTTTCGGTGGAGGCAACTGTTACCAATTGTCTAGGTGGAATTTCCCTTTAGTGTGGGGACCTACCCTTACCGTCTGCTGTATTTCCGGTCTCATTTTAAGCAAAAGTAAAAACATGTTTTTACTTAATACTTCAAACCAGTTAAGATACATTTTAAGTTCAACATTGCAATCATAACTCCAAATATTCATACACTGAACATAAAATACACTGTTGCTTTAATGAATATGAAATGCATTTAAAATATTTCTCATTCTTGTGAGCAAGACTCTTCCCGTATGTTTATATGCTCTTGAACCAGCATTGTATTTTTAGAAAATACTGTACACTCCTCCCTGGTAGATCATTTGTGAAAGGGATTAAATGCACCCGATTGTTTTGTGTGAATTGTCAATGAGCCATTTTCCAGCTGTGAATTTGTTTTCTCAATGTCTAGAAACTTAAAAAAGCCACAAAGCACAAATACAGTAAACCATGCAAATGCTTAAAGTGTATGTAAACTTTATGCATTTTTTAAATATATATGTGTGAATGGGCTCCGTAAATGTTTGGAGAAGCACTTTTAGAATCCTGCAGTTTTAAGTATTTGCTTCAAATTATTCTCAAGCGTTTCAGTTCTGATTTTTAGCATCCATTAACACTTTTGCTGGGCACACACATTACTGTATTTAAGGAGAATTATGGGGCGCACCTTTTTTTTCTTTTTGCATTTTTAGCTTCCTGATGATACAGTACATTATAAAATGTACGCCTGTAATCAAAAATGCACCATAAGCTTACAATTCAATGTAATATACTGTGGGTGGGGCTAAGCTCCATGCTGAGAAGTAATCCAGACAATATTGTCAGGATCCTCCTCTCCCTTTGAGTGACAGCAGCTTATAGGAGCTGCTGTGCGTTCTTGAGAATCTGTGCAGGCGCAGCAGCTCAGAGCACATCCAATCCAAGTTTATTCATGTCAGGTCACAGGTCTACTTGTACATCCATCCCACAGTTTGTCTTTCGTTCCTCTCTACACTGCTGTCTCCAGACAATACACATACCACATCGGCACAGCTCCGTCCTCGCCCCCCCTCTCTGCTGTCTTGAGACATTCACAGGGAGAAGAAGAGATAGTCAGCAGAGTGGAGGGGAGAGGGGCGTGGATGGAGCTGAACTGACGGTCTTGGCGACGATGTGGTATGTGTGGAGGGGGGGATGAAGGACAAATTGCAGGATGGATGTGCAAGTGTTTGTAGACCTGTGACCTATCATGAATAAACTTCTCATGAGCCAGCAGCAGCTCCTACAAGTTGCTGTCACTCAATGGGAGAGGAGGATCCCGACAATATTGTCTGGATCGCTTCTCACCATATATCTGAATTGTAAGCTTATGGTGCATTTTTGTTTACAGTAGTACATTGCACAATGTACTACCGTATCATTGGGAAACTAAACATGCAAAAAAAAGGTGTTCCCCATAGTTCTCTTTTAAGCCCCCGATACAGCCAGTAGTGGATCCATGGTACAGCAGCAAAAGTTACAAGTGTCCAAGTTATAATAAAAAGAAACAAATCAACAAACTCTGTCTTTCACAGTCTGATCTGCTGTGGTTTACTTTCTATGTGTGGACCTACACAAAGTATGAAATGCAGTTAATCTGGGCGCTATACTGTAGTTTTCTCTTGCTTGTTTGCAATTTCCATAGACATCTGTGGGTGTGACTGCTCCAGTATTAGGCTTCACAGGAAAATATGTAAACCATTTAAGGTGAATGGTTCATCACAGGTTCCACTGCGAAATTCCTGGATGCTATTTCGGCTCATTGCACTCCGGCATATCTGTCAGAAAAGTAAATGAATCGCTGCACTCTGGGCTGCAGCAAACCTTCCTAGTTATTGAAAAGGATCAGGTGACCCTTGTTACTATTCAATAAATAGGAGAAGTTGCTGTAGTCCAGAGTGCAGTAATGCATTTCCTTTTCTGATAGTAAACCATGCATAAAGATCAACTGGTGCACAGCAGCGAGGAGCGAGTTTTGAAAGTTTTTGATTTAGCAGGGGACATCTTGGAGGTAAACATAATTTACAATATTACTCTTAACTTCCCGAGGTACTCTTGTTTGATTACAGGAACAAACTCTGGAGCATCGGCCAGCAGTCTCCTTCAAGGATTAAGTTTCAGCCTACAAGATATAGGAACTAAATCTAATACTCTTCCTAGTACCCCTATCGGCACTGGACTCACTGCTCAGGTACATATACCAGGCAAAACACAGAACAGAGGTATTTGTCAGTCCTGTACGAATGTGCCTGTAAATGAATTCAGGTATATTCATTAAAGCAGCATTTTCATTAGACCCATTGTAAATATACTCATTATATTTTTCTATGTGCCTATGATACATTTTTGCTTGGTCAAATGGACCACAGGCTAAATACGATAAGAAGGTCCTGTTTATGGGGCTCACTGCACCCTGTTGGGTGCGTACCTGGTGTATATGAGAGTCTGTTCACAAGGACTAAAACTTTCTTTTAATAATTGCCACCCAATCCAGTCAACTTTGCTGAGTAAGCAGAGCAAAGCATTAGTGGAAGTTTAAAATAAAAAGAAAGAAAGAAAATTTGCTGCATTATTTTAATGTTGTTAAATATAAATTGTTTATCGTTTTTGTATCCCTTGCTGTTTATATGTTTAGTAATAAAAGAAAATTATTATAGTCCGTTTTATTTTCCTTCCCAGACAATGGCAGTTAAAGCCCCTGCTCCGCTCCAAACCTTGGGAACGATAACCACAGCAACTGGGACAATCCTTCGAACCATCCCTGTGGTGACTGCTTCTTCATCTCTTGTGGCATCCTCTGGTGGCAAACCTACTGCTATTCATCAGCTACTCACAAACGGTGGCCTGGCAAAACTGGCTAGTAGTATCCCTGGCTTGGCACAGTTAACCAGCCCAACTACAGGTATTTCAGCTAATAATGCCTTGTTTAGTTGTCGTTATTAACCCTCTGCACACTCATACATGCAATTAAAGTTTGGCACTGACTAATACACAAGTACGGATGTCGGTGAATGCAACAAGTTTATGCACATGTCAGAAACATTTACGAATTTGTTGCAAGGTCTACCTTATGCACAGGACTCAAGGATGCTGCGGGGCCTAGCTTCGCTGGTTGCTAGAATGCTGGTGGCCTCGGGCCAGCGTCATCCTAGCAACCAATGACATAGTGCATCAGAGGCTGATTGGTTGCTAGTACACCGGTGACCTCGAGGTACATTGGTCTTATTTACCGCCAGTTTCTTTCCCTCCGAACCAGCAGTATTGCTTTATGAATTTCTCACAGCCATTACAACTTACTGTAAAAGTGTTACTATTGCAAACTACCTGAATTTGTTGCACGTCTGGGTAATAGCATTAGAACTGTCACACTGCTTTTCTGAATTTGGCACAGGACAATCTTAGATAGCACTAATGCTACAAACGTGAAACAAATGCTAATTGAATGGCCACCATTGACCGTTAACCCTCACACACTCCCCACAGAAACAAACTTATTTAAGAACAAGGATGCTTGGTTTGCACTTATTGTGCTGTTTAGGCCAGCTACAGGTAACGCAGCTGATAATGGCTTCTACATCTGCCATTATCTTCAGCATATTTAACCTGTCTCTTCTTCTGCATAGGCTTGAAGGCACCTACCACCATAACAGTAACTCTACGTGGTCAGCCCAGCCGTGTCACCACACTGAGTCAGGCCAGTATAGGTGCAGGGGCACATGCCAGACAAGATGATGCCTCTCAACAGGTATGAAATCCCAATCATGTCTGAGATCTTTCTTTATACCACTTATGAGATGTTCTGCTATGGGAAAATTAAAACAATGTGTGCGAATGAACCTTACCTGATTTAGCTTCTTTACTATTTGAGGATTATAGGAACATTTTTACAATACTGTCCTCCCTTTCAGAATCTGTACTCTGATACTGGAAAGTACTGAAAATTCCTAAGTGTAAAACAAGATATGTTTTTGTATTGTCTTTATACAAAGCACACGTAGCACCCAACTGCACGTCTCAGAATCTTTAGTTTAGGTTAGTTTAGCGGGATTTAATTAAATACTTTTGCAGGATAAGGATGCTTGTGTACAAGTTGCTCAAATGAGCGCCCCAAAATTGTGATTAGATGTTTGCCCATTGCTATACTTCCCTTTAAAAAATTTCTGTACTGGTATGCACGATCATGCTCCTGGGCGGTTGGAGGGTTATATTTGTTGATCAGGTGTTATGTGTGGTTTTCTTATTATTAATCAAAGCTCTTTCATGCCTCTGTACCTGTCTGCCAATTAATGAAATTGTACTGACCAACATACGTTTCATCCATATACGTCAATTTCCACACTTCAGGTGTGTTGCTTAACAAGTCATTCTGTAGCTTATACTTGTGAGGTAATATAAGGGAAAGAAAATTCTTATGAGCATGTTCTGCTGTACATGTCCAGATGTACATTTTACTGGGAAGACATGTATGCTATGCATGAACTGGTCTTTGATCTTGTGTCTCTGCTGTGATCTTCAGGCATTAGGCTCCTCCTCTTCCACCATGGTCTCTGCTAGTAAACTCCTCCCCCCTACTGTGGCAGAACAGTGCAAGGTAGCGACAGCCAGCGACAGGACTCCGGGAGAAAAGTCCTTATCCATAGTGCGTGCGGTAACCCCTCCAGCAGGTGAGAAGCCTGGTTTTACACCAGCTATAATCGATTTGAGGTGATCTGAGAAAGATAGTAAGGCCAGGATTGACAGTAGTTACTAGGTCTGAAACCCTGCCACATAAATCTCAGCATGGAGTCAAGTGGGATCTTCTAGATTTGTTTGTTGCCTAATCAGACAGCATATTTTTTATTTTACGCTGTATTTACAACCATGTGAAAAAGTAAGTACACCCCCATGGAAATATTTTACTTTTTCGACATATTTGAACAAGCAAATATTAGATCTTCTTTCAACCTGTACCTTCAGAGGAAGGTGAATCCATGAAAATTAGAATAAGGTCTTCCATATTGGGTGTCGATGATTAGAACCTCATTATGGGGTTTGCAGGTGGAATTTGTCTTATTTAAAACTCATATATCTTCGGTCTGGTGGTTGCTTTGATATTCACCTGCACGGTGTCCTCATGACAAGATCAAAAGAGCTCTCTAAGGCCTTCAGAAAGAAGTTAGTGAATCCTTAGGAGCCTGGCAAGGGATTTAGGAAGATCACCAAATCTTTTGAAATCAATAATTTCACTGTAAGGAAAATAATCTACAAGTGGTGTAGATTTTAAGCAACTGCTAATTTGTTCAGGACTGGCCAGCCCAGTAATTCAGCCCAAGAGCTGACCATCTTATGCTACAAGTAGTCTCCAAAAACCCAAAAATTATACTGCTGGATTCTCATGCAGCCCTTGCAACAGTTGGTGTCACAATAATACATGCAACTACAATCAGAAGGATCGCAAAATTTAAATTGTGTGTGAGGTGTGCCATCAAAAAGCCTTTCCTGTGCAAGAAGATCAATAAAATAAGACTACATTTTGCCATTCAACATATAGGCAAAGACCAGGCTGACAAATCAAAGAAAAAAATCTTGCTTTGCCACAGTAACAGACCTGTTTGGTGCAAACTGAAGACAGCATTTCAGGAAAAGGATCTTAAACCAACTGTGAAGCATGGTGTTGGAAATGTTATAGTCTAGGGTTGCTTTGCAGCTTCAGGACCTGAGCAGCTTGCAGTCATCAAGTCAACCATGAGTTCTGCATTGCATCAATATGTGCTGGAGAATGTAAAGCCAACTATTCAAAAGTTGAAGGTTTGAAAATTGATCTTTTAGCATAATAATGAGCCAAAGCACACACAAATCCACCAAAGAATAGCTTAGAAGTAATAAAGTGAGGGTTATGGACTGGCCTATTTAAATCACTGCTTTTAGACCTATTGGAATGTTGTGGGGATTTGAAATGGACAGTCCATGCAAGGAAACCCACAAACATCTTGTGACTGAAAGAAATGTTTTAAGGTAGAGAGTGGTGGGCAATTATTCAAAACACCATCAGGAAGTAATTTCTATTGAAGGAGGCAATACCAGCTTCTAAGGCCAAGGTTGTACTTTTTCCACAGTACATCACTACATATATTGCTATTTTTGGTCAATACATGAGTGAAAATTTGAATTTTCCTTGTGTTTTTCTTTAGGTAGATCACCTTTATCTGTAAGCACTGTTTAAATAAAGATCAAATATTTGCCTGTTTAAAAAGTTAAGTTTACATGGGGGTGTATTTACTTTTTTTTACATGATTATACATGCTATGTGACATTTTTATGAGAAACAGATTTTCTCCATTTTTCTTTTAATCTGCGCATAGTGTGTAGGTTTTCAACAGTGTTTGTTTCTAAGTTTACCATCACAGTATCCAGTGAAATCAGGTCATTTCTGATACAAACAATGTCCTGCCTGTCTGTTCATTAGGAAATAGCGACGTCACTTTAACACAAGGGGTCCTGCTTACTAAGACTATGATCTCTTACTGTGGAAGTAGTGTCTTGTGAATTGGGAGAACATTTTCAGAAACTTTCACCTATATCGGGTAGGCAACCTTGGCTCTCAAGCTGTGCTGAAACTACAAATCCCGTCATGCCTGTGACTTGCAATGCCTTAACCCTTTCGCTGCCAAGGACGTATGGCATACGGACCTACAAAAGTGCTTCCAGCTGGCCAACTCCGTATGCCATACAGACCTGGCATTTACAGTTCTACTATAAGCTTATAGTAGAACTGTTCAGCAGACTGTCCCCTTTAAATTAATAGCTGTCATCAGCGGCTCACAAGCCGCTGATGACTGCTATTATCAAAAAT